TTTTAAAAAATTAATCTAAATCTAGAAAATACCCTGTACTATATAGCCCATGTTTTTTTCTAAAAAATGGCTCTAAAATCACCCCAAATTTTTATTACATTTTCTGATACATATTGATGCCTTTATGCTGTGTAAAAAGTTTGAGTCAATTTGGACTGCAATTTTTCAAGGTACCTTACAAGATGATTTATTGGCGAAGAATTGATATTGGCAATTGGCGATTCTATGAAGAAATCACCAATATAAAATCGACCATTTTGTTTTAATCTGAGCATGCTCAGTCACCAGTACGTCAAGAAGATCCACCAGTACATCAAGGAGGAGATCCACTATTGCATCAAGGACGACAAGGAGATCTACCAGTCCCAGCAGATCCACCCGTTCAAGTCCCACAACAAGTCCAAGAAGACCCATTGAACAGACTAGAGTTAAGTATACCAAGGTAGATTACTGATATTATTACAAATGATGTTAGTATTGTTTCTTCATTCTAGTATTCCTACAAATTTGCATCTTGTCTTGACTGAGCCAGTTCCTCCTTTATCTTCACCAGTTAGTGCCAATCCTCCAACACTGAGTAATATTTTTGAGAACTTTGGTTTCAATATTAATTCACAAACCAATGACCCCAGCATTTTAATACAAAATAACTCGGTTACTTATTCCTCTACTGGTGATGGATCTGACTGTCCTCTTATGAAACATGATCATGCTCCTGTGGCATCCTCATACCGATTTACACCTTCACAGAGCACAGAAGAGGAAAAGGTTTTATATTATTTCAGCCGCTAATAAAAAATAGTTTTTTATGTATAAATAGTTTAAGAAACTTGAAGAAGTTAAAGCTGGTAGTGAGCCTTTTATATTTGTATATAGCCGGAGAAGTAACAAATAAAGTATAAAATGTATTCAATGGCTTCATCATCTATATAGATTTATAAAATATTTCAAATTGTGCATGCCCACACAATTTTTTTAATTTTTCTTTTATGTGATTATTTGTTTTTAGTAATTCTATTTTCTAATGATTAATTTTTTTAACATAATTATTGTTTTGAAGTACTCTAGCACATTGTTTTTGGCCAGATTTTGAAGTAAATCTATAGATTTATAAGTAGGATTGTTATTAGTAGTAGTGCTAGTAAAACTGATATGCTTCACTAGGCAACCTTGTAATTAACAATAAACACATCTCTTGTGTATTTAGTAGTAGTAGTAGTGTAGTAGCAATAACTGATATTGTTGTGACAGCTATATATTACATACATCAGACATCTGTCTGTAACATGTAAACTGCAAACTGTATGAACTACCAGCCTCATTATTTAATACAATAATGTTGATACTGCAGGGACTCTGTTATATAATTTATTCATTTTGCTATAACTTTTACAATGCATATATAATTCCAGTTGCTGCATGCTATTTACTATTCTGTGGTGAGCTTAATAAATATACATCAATATTAATATTTAATGTTAACCTTCTTAATACTGATGAGGAACTAAATGATACACCGAACCTGTGAACATATACATGAAGCCATATTAGGACTAACCTCTTTCATAATAGAAACTGACAATTATTATATTATCAACTATAACCTATTCCAACATCATTAAATTTGTGAGGTATACAGAACACAACCTTAGTACCTTGAAGCCCAAAGGCAAGAGTAGTATCAGATTGCTTATAAGGAATTTATACTAGTACATAAAGAAATAGCAAGGGTTCATTTACTGATGCACACTGAAAGAGACTGACCAAAACTAAAAGAAATGGAACTTTCAGTTTCAAATTTTAAAGAAGAATTGGCTATTCTTGTCATGTACATCTCTCAGGCATATTTCACTGTATGAACCACTGACTTTCCCTTTCACTATGGCTTTGCTGGGGTATAATAACAGTTCTTATATCACCAGGAATTGCAGAACAATATTACTATTATTCTGTTTCTCTGGCTTGCATAAAGTGATAGCTGTCTTTTTATACAGTTCCATGAATAATCTAGTTACTTCGCATAATTTGTTTATAGTTTCAAATACCGGTCTGAACATGAAAGAAACTAAGGTCACAGTTGATTTCAGAATAATATTCATGCCAGTAGACTGTACTGCACTGTAGTCTGTACGCTCTTGTTGGGTGTGGCTCATTAAACTAATATAATAGACCATCGACACAATGCACAAAGAAGAGAGGTTGCTGCAATCATGTTGCTCTTTTCTGTGCCTTTCACTATATCTAGTCATTCTTTCTTCACTCAGTACTGAAGCAGGTATGTTACAAGTCTTGTAAAAACACGTTCCTGACTACTATTTTGTTATTTCTTTCATGAACCATGGTGACAATGATCTCCCGTTCATCATTTACTTTTTTATCGTCCTCTTTAGCAATTAAGCGGGCCAGGCTATGCATTATACTGTTGCCTATATACCTTAGCCATAAAACTTACAAGAATCAGCATTATGATCGCTGTTTTATATTTTGAGATCGTATCCAGGATGCGGGAGGCTGAGGGGGCTTCGTGGCTGGGCTCAGAAAATACACTAAAGCCCTGGACTCTTGCATCACTACCAAGCCTCTTAACAAAGTTGTCTAGCACCCTGATCATGATTTCAGCAGTCTCCAGTGCCTTAACTAAGGAGCAATTTGAAGTATCAGTTTCATGGCAGTAAGCTTGCAATTATCTTGACCCCTGGCCACCCGTATTTGACAAAAATTCTTGAAGGAAAACGCTGTTTTATTGGCATAAAAAGTGGTTGTGGCCAAAATCACAGCATGCTTTGCATGCCCTCAGCATCCCCCTTTTCAAATTCATATTAAGTACACTAGAACAAATTAAATGACAACACAGAAATTAATGATCAGTTGATTTAAGTGGAAGTAATTGCACTGAAGGATAGCAAGCCCTGGACAAAATAAACAACCTTGAAATAGCTACTATTAAAAATCACTGATTTGAAGGAAAGAGCCCCCACACCAATATTTCTTACCATGAGGGGTATTAGCAGCCTAAAACTTCATTTTGTGCAGAATGTCATAGTGTGAGAATTAACAGAAGTAACAAATTTAAAAAGGAAATAAGAATGCAGTAGCTGTTGATAGCACCTTGACAGCACAAGTTCACATGTTTTTTTACATTTAGACCCCCAACTTTCAAATCATTCTTATTGTTTGTAATTGTGACCTTCAGTTTGTAACTGAATTCATGTTACTCAATGAACTGCTTGCTTTTATTAATGTGCACCCTTTCATTATAATAAGGTCTCCAATTTTACTTGCA